ATGCATGCTAGGAAAGCACTTTACCACTAAGCCACACTCCCAGCCTCTTTGTGCTCAGGGCTAGTGCTCTGCCATTTGAGCCACAGCACCACTTCTGTGTGTGTGTGTGTGTGTGTGTGTGTGTGTGTGTGTGTTTGAATAATTAATTGAAGATTATAGAGCCTCACGGGGACTTTTCTACCTGGTCTGGCTTCAAACTACAATCTTCAGATTTTAGCCTCCTCAGTAGCTAGGATTACAGGCCTGAGCCGCTGACACCTGGCTCCCTGAGCTTTTTTACTCACTTCCAGTTTTCTGGTAGTCAATTGGAGATAAGAATCTTAGACTTTCCTGCCCTGACTGTCTTCAAACTGCCATCCTCATATCTCAGCCTCCTGAGTAGCTAGGATTACAGGCATGAGCCATCAGTGCTGGTTCAAGACTTTTCTTTAAAAACAAATAATTACTTTGTTTCTAAAATTAAGCAAGACCTACATATAGTAATCTTAAAAGATTTTACCCTACATATTATTACAGCTTCTTCTGAGCTTGTGTTTATGGATGCAATCACAGTTTATTTTGCCTTCTTACTAAGTTGAATAGAATCAAAATCTCTTAATGAAAAACAATACATATGAATGTAAGTTTATGTGTATATATGTGGTTGTTTGTACATTGTATATGGCGATCACATTAGGTCAAGCATTACTGTGTGTTTGGAAGGAGACAATCCATCCTGAAATTTTTAGGCCTAAAAAAGAGAGGAATTTGTATGGAATAAAGACCTCAAAGGTTAGCCAGGCACCTGTGGCTCACGCCTGTAATCCTTGCTACTCATAAGACTGAGATCTGAGGATCTTGGTTCAAAAGCAGCCTGGGCAGGAAAAGTCCGTGACACTGTTATCTCCAATAAACCACTCAGAAAACTGGAAGTGGTACTGTGGCTCAAGTGGTAGAGCGCTAGCCTTGAGCTGAAGAGCTGAGGGACAAAACCCAGGGCCAGAGTTCAAGCCCCATAACTGACAAAAAAAAAAAAAAAGACCTCAAAGTGACAAGTTTGGTTGCACATATGGGGATGTGTGCATCAGAGGTCTCTGCTACAGAACTTTTGTGCAGTGCAGTTGTTTCTTATTTTCCATTAATTATTCCTAGTATATAAACTGGAATCTGTTGTCTTGCTTTAATCAAGGAAGATGCTAAGAGCTAAGTGAAACACATGTTTTATGGTATCTTACCCATCTCAGTTTGCTCATATTTTTATGTAACATGATTTTCTTAAATATTGCTTCCCCCCAAAAAAACCTAACATTTAAGACCCTGACATGACCAAGCCAAAAATGCCCCAAACCTGCGTTTATTCTCACTACAGCAGTACTTTGACTGTGGCCCCTAGCTGCCCATGATAAGTATGTAAATTGAAGACATGCTGTTATAAATATGGACCTTTAAATTTTCATTTTAGTTCTGTAAAGAATTAGAAACTTGGAAAAGAAAATTAAAAGGTCTTGGCAGCATCAGTAGCTTCATTTGTATGTTCCTTCCTTGAAGAACAGCATACACGTCCTGCAAAAGCTACAGGGTCTAAGAAAAGTTATAAACAGGATATACATGTTTTGATAATTTGCATTGGTATAAATTATGCTAGACAGAGTTCATTCGTTCCTCAATATTTGGCTGTTGTCTTTCAGCATACTGTTTGCAGACAGTGACAGAAGATAACCCAGAGCTACTGAAATCTCTCAATGCCACAACATTGCATGGGCTGGAATGTGCCATGCTTTGTCCTGTCAGTTCCATGGAGTACATTCTGTTAAAGACCCTGGTGGCAGGTAAAATCTTGTCAAATGCAAACCTGTGCCATTTCACTAGCTTCAGTTCCTTGTCTCGCCACATCAGCGCTCTCTGCACTTATGTCTGTTCTGAGCTTCTTAACATTTGACTGTAGATCTCAGTTCCTGTTATTGCCCATAATCAGGAGGCCTTCTAGAGTAGATTTGTTTTCAGTCTGACAAACTATAGTTGCTTAATAAAGAAATGCTGTGATTAGAATCTCCTTTTATTTATGAGCTAGTGAGTTCCAAAGTTGAGTCTGGGCATCCACGACATGGCTACTTCCTTTGCCAGGTGTTCCTCATACCCAGATTGTGTTGCTCCAGTATTTGAGCACAAACAGGACATGAACTGACAGTCCGTTGGATCTTAGTAGGGATTTCATACAGTGTTTGTGTAGTTTCCTCTTGTTTTTTGACTTTGCAGGTGTTGAGAATTTTTGTTGTTCTTTAATTGTGGTAAAATGTTTATAACACTGCCATTAGGATCATTTTGAAGCGTGCAATTTGGGGGTGGTATAAAATAAGTACATGTTGGGGCTGGGAAGGTGGCTTAGTGGTAGAGTGCTTGCCTTGCATGCTTGAGGCCCTGGGTTCAATTCCTCAGCACTACATAAGCAAAAAGAAAAAAGCTGGAAATGGCACTGTGGCTCAAGTGGTAGAGCGCTAGCCTTGAGCTGAAGAGCTAAGGGACAGTGCCCAGGCCCAGAGTTCAGGCCCCATGACCGGACCCCCCCCCCAAAAAAAAAGTGCATGTTGTACAATAAAACTTTGGATCTCTTTTTCATCTTGCAAAACTGAAACTGGACCCAGTAAATGACATTTTTTCCCTCTAGTTCCTGATAGCCTACATTCTATTATCTGTTTCTGAAGTCAACTGTACATATCTTAGACAAGTAGAATAATTCACAGTTATTTACTGTCACCTTTGGCTCTTGAGGGTAATGCAGCAGTGTTATGGAGTGATGCTGTCAGTCTTTTGGGTATGTGCTAGAGCAGTGGCTTTATTTTGACATCACTTTAAAAAATCTAACTACTTAAGGGTAGCTCCTATTTTAGCTTGAGAAGTTAAAGCCACCATCTGTTTGTGCACATGAGACCTGGGAGTCCAGTACATTCCATTCCACTCTTGGAAGAAGAGAAGCAGCTCAGGTTAAGATGAAAGAAAGCAAGGCAGCTCACTCTGTCATTTTCAGAGAAACTTGATCAGTGTTCTCTGTGTCTGTTGATATGCTGAGTATCTGAGAACTATGTTATGTGCCAAGGCAGAGAGATGATTCTGACTTATACTGGCCTGAACTCTTGATTCTCAAGCCTCATACCCCCACAGGCTAAGATTTATGGGCAGATAGCACAGCACATATCTGTGCAGTGCTTGTGCAGGAACTTGAACTCAGGGCCTCAGTGGTGTCCTTCAGCTTTTGTGTTCAAGGCTAGTACTCTACCACTTGAGCTGCAGCTCCACTTCCAGCTTTTTGGTGTTTAATTGGAGATAAGCGTCTTAACACACAGCAGGGTACAGGTGCCTGTAATCGTAGCTACTCAGGAGGCTGAAATCTAAGGATGGCAGTTGGAAACCCGCCCAGGCAGGAAAATCCATGAAACCCTTACCTCCAATAAACTACTCAAAAAAGCCAGAAGTGGGGCCTGGGAAGGTGGCTCAGTGGTAGAGTGCTTGCCTTGCATGCATGAGGCCTGGGTTCAATTCCTCAACACCATATAAACAGAAAAAGCCAGAAGTGGTGCTATAGCTCAAGTGGTAGAGTACTAGCATTGAGTGCAAAAGCTCAGGGACAATGCTCAGGCCCTTAGTTCAGCCAAAAAAAAAAAAAAAAGAGTCTCACAGACTTTTTGACATTTCATTAAACCTAAACAAATGCAGTGGGATTGAGACATTTTGAAATTACCTCTGAGGCTGAAGTTTCTGTGGCAACTATTCTTTTTTTGTTGTTGTTGGTTGTGGGGCTTGAACTCTTGACCTGGGCGCTGTCCCTCAGCTCTTCAGCTCAAGGAGGTGAGTGCTCTTCCCCTTGAGCCACAATGCCACTTCCCGTTTTCTGGTGATTTATTGGAGATGAGTGTCACAGACTTTCCTGCCTGTGCTGGCTTTGAACCGTGATCCTTAGATCTCAGCCTCCTAAGTAGCTAGGATTATAGGCATGAGCCACCAGTGCCCAGCTAAACTTTTTTTTTGGGGGGGGTTGTCTGGTCATGGGGCCTGAACTCTGGGCCTGGCGCTGTTCCTCAGCTCTTCAGCTCAAGGCTAGCACTCTACCACTTGAGCCACAGCACCATTTCTGTTTTTTTTTTTTCTGCTTATATGGTATTGAGGAATCGAACCCAGGGCCTCATGCATGCAAGGCAAGTGCTCTACCACTGAGCCACCTTCCCAGCCCAGCTAAACTGTTCTTAATATAAGGTTTTACAGAGGAGTCCTTTGTCATTTTTCTTAGGCACAGTCTGGAATCTAAAGGACATTATTCCATCCAAGAGTCAGGCAGAGATCATAAATGCCATACTGAAGATCTTATCTGAAGTTTTAGAAGTCGATGCCATGAAAACGGTTATTCAGATGAAGGAGGCTGAGACTCAGCGGATAAAGTTGGCTGCAGAGAGTGAGGAGGTCCTGGAGCATGCTAATGGCATTAATGGCACTGATCTGGTTGAAGATGATGAAATGGAGGAAACTCCTCGAAAGAGAAAAGTCAGAAGAAAGACTTTTATTTCTGATTTACTTCCAGTAAGTCAAATTGATGCTCAGATATGGAATAATAACAGCTGTCTTCTTTCAACAGGTCTTTAGTTTTATAGAAAAGCATTAGCAAAATTGTCTGTAGAAAGAGAATTTCCATGAAAATCAGTGATGCTTTCCTATGGATTCTCATAAAAAGTAAACTCCCAGAGAAGGGGGAAAAAATCTCTTGTTTAAAATTACATTTTTATATACAGGAACTTTTAAGGATTAGCCAGACCAGTCTTTTTGGAACATGTTAGAAATACCCAGTTATTTTTCAATCTCTGCCTTTCACTTGAGCTACACATGGCCTCCCAGACTGTCTTCAAACTAAAAGAACTTGTACTCTGTTCAGATTGTCTCCAACATTCTAGTCTCCTGATTAGCACAGTGATGAGTCAACCTTCATTGACTTAACTACTGCTGAGTATAAGGTCAATGAAGGTTTGACTTATCTAGGGCTGGGATTTAGCAGGGAGGATAAGCAGTTAAGTTCAGGAATCATTTCATCTGAAACAGCAAAGGCTTGGTATACTTTTCTAGATAGAACCTACTACATATGAATAACCAAAGCATTGCCTTTGTGGGGTAACTATAAAATGAAAAGGCTTTCCTGTCCTTGGGTTGTTGACATGAAAATCTTAGTGTCTTCTTTGGGAATACCATGCATTTGAATTCCATGTTTAATCCTTATCTCTTGTGCCTCTGTGTCAGCACAAGCCAAGGGACCATGTTTTACCACTCGATTGTCAGGAGCAAAGGTGGGAATAGCAGCGAGGCTGCATGAACGCTGGGGTTCTAAAACACTGGCAGGCAGTGGGAGAAGGCTATTCTTTGTGACCCTCCTACATCCAACCTGCTCCCCAGGGCTCTTAGAGGGAGTAAATGAAGAGACTCCTGTCCACCAAGGTGAAGGTAGACGTACATTGTTTAAAAAGTATCCATAACTAGCTGTTCTGTAGAGATTTGTTTTCTTACATATTCTTTTAAAAATAGAGGGGTTGAAGATGTTCTTAATGATAGAACACATGCTTACCATATTCAAGACTCTGGGTTTGATTGATAGAAGTACACACAGAGAAAAAAAATAATTATTTTGTGATTATAATAATATGTAGTGTTTTCTCATAGCACAAAATTGGGTTTAAAGTCTTCACTGAGCAGCCTGGATTGTTTTTAACAGTGGAGGGCCCCTTCCCAGCTCTGAGTCACTCTGTTTAATTTCATGTGTTCCCCAGACTTGCTTACTTTGAAGCAAATCTCAGTTGTCATTACATCTCATCTACTTTGATTCTTTGTGTCAGTTTAGAATAGTAAGAAGCAAAGCAATGTTCTGAGCAGCAGTTACATAAAATGGAGGCTAATTCCAGAACCTAAGCCTCTCTACACATTTGAAGTAGTCACAGCCTAGCAGCAAGTCTTCCTAAGTTGCAGATACTCTGATAGGGATTTCTTTAGTCAATAATGACACATGCATAAAGCAAGTAGGAATGGTTTTCTATACATTGTTAGTAGGAATAAATGGAGAACAAATTTAGGACATGCTAGGCATCATCTATTAAATTAGCAATATGATGTATGGTTCTGGTATTTAAATCCAGGGCCTCAGCATGAACTCTACCACTGAGCTACACCTCCAACTTCCCCCTCTCTTGTTAAAGAGCATAGTTCAAACTTGCAATTAGATTCTTAGACTGATGAAGTAGTGTTTGTTTGAAAATAGAACAGTGAAACCTGTTGGAATTGTTTTAAAAAGAGGTAAGAGAGAGGTGAGGTGAGGATACTTTGTATACAGGATACATTGCATCCATGTGTAGAAATGTCACAGTGAAATACATCTGTACACCTACTATATGATAATAAAAATAGCCCAGGACACCCAGGCACAGGTGGCACACTCCTATAATCCTAGCTACACAGGAGGCTGAGATCTAAGAATTGAGAATCAGAGCCAGCTCAGGCAGGAAAGACTGTGAGACTCTTATCTCCACCAAACTACCAAAAAAGCTGAAGTACAGCTGTGGCTCAAGTAATAGAGCCCTAGCCTTGAGCAAAAAAAAAAGTTCAGGGCAGCATCAAAGGCCCTGAGTTCAAATCCCAGGACCAGCACAAAAAGATAAATAAAATAAGTCAGGCACTGGTGGTTCACAGCTGTAATCCTAGCTACTCAGGAAACTGAGATCTGAGGATTGGGATTCAAAGCCAGCCCAGGTGAGAAAGTCTGTGAGACTCTTATCTACAATTAACCACCAGAAAACTGGAAGTGGTGCTGTGGTTCAAGTGGTAGAGCACTCACCTTGAGCTGAAGATCTAGGGACAGGGCCTAGGCCCAGAGTTCAAGCCCCATGACCAACCAAAATAAATAAATAAATGAATAAAATAATTCCAGGACAGAAAATTTGTTGGTAGATTTTAATGAGTCTAAATATTCTGGAAAGGAAAATGTGTATAAAGCATAGAACCTACCAGTGTATTTTTAACTTTAGCCCCTGTAAGTCTGAGGAAATAAGGACTCATTGCAGTTGGCTGTCCATGAGGGATTGCTTCCTCGGATTCCCTAATGGTCACCTTATAGATAAGAATGTTGGAATGTTCACATCCAGCCAGTGTCCCTCTCCCCATAAGCATCCTCTTAAGCATCCCTGGATTATGTAACTCGTTGTCAGACAAGGAGAGTTTTCTGTTTGCTTGTGGTGCTGGCATTGAGGACTTTAGGTAAGCACTTGCACTCCCCTGTATTCCCCACTTGCCTAACAGTGCAAATGCTATAGAACTGGTTATTACACTGTAATGGCAAGAAAGAGTCTGTGCATGTTCAGGACAGGTGCAGTCCTTTTTCTCCAGGTATTTTTGCTCCTAAGTTGGTTAGCTGGGCATTGTGTCATGTGCCTATGGTCCCAGCTCTTGGAGGCCTGAGGCTGGAGGATCGATCACTTGAGCCCAGAAAGATGAGGACAGCCTGGACAAAGTTGGTTGAATCCATGGTTGCAATACTCACAGTACAGAGAGTTGAATATAATAACACAAATTGATGGTTCTGTTTAACAAAATATAATGGGACACCAAAAAGCAATTACAAATGAAATTTGGAAGAAGACAATGGAGTACATCTTTTTAAGCTGATGCCACTATTTTGAAATATTGGTGTGAATGTTTCACTTTTCATAAATAATTTTCAGAATTATAGTCATAAAAAATTTATATGACCCATTTTAGGTAGTGTGACTGGATGAGGTTATAAATTGGTATTATATGTTTTCAGAGTAAAGTGTTTCCCACTTCTTTCAGTCTTCAAGAACTACATTTTGTTTTTTAGCCATGTGCTGGTGGCTCATGCCTATAATCCTAGCTACTCAGGAGGATGAGATCTGAGAGGCAGAAAGTGTGTGAGACTCTTTGGCTCCAGTTAACCACCAAAAAGCTGGAAGTGGTGCCGTGGCTCAAGTAGTAGAGAGCTAGCCTTGAGCAAGAAAAGCTCAGGGACAAGACCTGTGCCCTGAGTTCAAGCCCCAAAACCAGCGCCAAAAGGAAAAGGGAAAAAGGGGCGGAGCCAGAGGCCGCGTGGTTGTAATCCCATGGGGGGGGTGGGGGCGGGAGGAGTGGGTGGGGAGGGGGGCAGGAGTCGGGCTAGCATGGCTGACCTCCCTTTCTCTGCTCCTCTTCGGCGTCATTTTGTCCTTTTCGCTTCTTTGATACCTGCTCCCGGGTTAGGTAGGAAACATGAACGCCAACAACTTGGATAAAAATGATGAGTTTGATGAGCAGTTGCGAATGCAAGAATTGTACGGAGACATCTATAACGATCCCAACGGAGAAACGGATTCTTTGGGGCCACAACTGACTGACAGTCCGTATGAATGGGACCAGGATAAGAAGGCTTGGTTCCCCCAGATCACTGAAGATTTCATTGCTACCTATCAGGCTAATTATGGCTTCTGTAATGATGGTGCATCTAGTTCCTTCGCTTATGTCCAGGACTCCAATAGTAAGCCTGTAGAAGAACCTTCACAAAGAAAAACCCCTGAATCCACTGATTCCAAAAAGAAGGGAGAAAAAAGAAAGACCGACTCAGGATGGTTTCATGTTGAAGAAGACAAGAATACAAATGTGTATGTGTCTGGTTTGCCTCCCGACATTACAGTGCATGAATTTATACAGCTTATGTCCAAGTTTGGCATAATTATGAAAGATCCTCAGACAGAAGAATTTAAAGTTAAACTCTACAAAGATGACCAAGGAAATCTTAAAGGAGACGGGCTTTGCTGTTACTTAAAGAGAGAATCTGTGGAACTTGCATTGAAGCTTTTGGATGAAGATGAAATTAGAGGCTACAAGTTGCATGTTGAGGTGGCAAAGTTTCATCAGAAAGGGGAATATGATGCCTCAAAGAAGAAGAAGAAGTGCAAAGATTATAAGAAGAAGCTGTTTCTTCAACAAAAGGAGTTGGATTGGAGACCTGAGAGGAGAGCTGGTTCATCTCGGATGCGCCATGAGCGAGTCGTCATCATCAAAAATATGTTCCACCCTATGGATTTTGAGGATGATCCACTGGTGCTGAATGAGATCAGAGAAGATCTCCAAGTTGAATGTTCTAAGTTTGGGCAAATTAAGACACTCTTTCTCTTTGACAGGCACCCAGATGGTGTAGCCTCTGTGTCCTTTAGGGATCCCAAGGAAGCTGATATTTGTATTCAAATCCTTGATGGAAGGTGGTTTGGTGGCCGTCAAATCACTGCCCAAACATGGGATGGAACTACTGATTATCGGGTAGAGGAGACCTCAAAAGAAAGGGAAGAGAGGCTGAAAGGATGGGAAGCATTTCTCAATGTTTCAGAGGCAAACAGAGGCCTTCAGTGTCCAGATTCTGTCTGGGCTCCAGAAAAGACAGGGTCTTCAAAAGTAAGGCAGCACCCAGACACGTCTAATGTGAATTCTCAAGAGGCTCCAACTGGAATGGCATTTATAGAATCTATTGAGAAATTTGAAAGGATAGAAAACGGGGAAGAATTTGAAGAAGCTACTTCAGGGAAGGGTGTTAAAGAAGATGGGCCTAAGAAAGAGATGAAAGAAAGTTGCCCTTCTGAAGAGTCAAAAGAAAGCTGCCCCAAGACAGAATATAAAGCAGGGTGCCTAAAAAAAGGGCTTGCAGATAATTCCAAAAAGGAGGTAAGAGAAAATGGCTCCGAAAGAGAGTCTAAGAAGATAGTAAAAAAAGATTGTGTAGAGAATGGCCTTGCACAAGATTCTGAAGACAATGACCCCAACAAGGAATCTGAAGAACACAACCCCAGCGAGGAGTTGGAAGAGGAAGACTCAGAGAAAGAATCAGATGTAGACCGCTCTGAAAAACAGTCTGAAGAAGGCTCCAAAAAAGAAATAGAAGAAAATGGCCTGGATAAAGATTCTGATGAGGATGGCCCTGACAAAGAATTAGAAGAAAATGGCACTCACAAGCCCAAATGTGATGAAGGTTTTGAGAGAGTGTTGGATGAGGAAGGCTCTGACAAAGATTCAGAAGAAAAGGAAGGAGGTATGTGTGAGGTTTTTGATGATGAGAAGGAGGAAGAAGGTGCAGATGAAAAAGAGGGTGAAGATTCTGCTGAGGAAGAAGAAAAAGAAAATCCAAATGAAAAGTTGAAGACTGAGATGACAAAAAAGAGGAAGTAGATGCAGATCTAAAGGAAGATGAAGGTGACAGTGAGACCTTGTTTAGGATAACAATTTCAGTGAGAAGTTATTTGATGAAGAGGAGGGTTCCAATAAGAAGTTGTTTGATGATCTGATGCAAGAGTGACTGTGGTGAACATGAAGGAAGAAGGTCTACAGGCAGCAGCTTTGTTCTCATAGTGATGGTAACAGACGATGAAGAGGACAACAATGATGATATTTAATCCCTTTCACTTGCTTCTAGGGACAGCCCTCTATCTCCATCTGCCTGTGCTTCACGATCATTACTAGTAGTGTTAGATGAACATGTACATAGTGGTAGGGCACATAATGCATTATGTGTTGAATTTTTTTATTGTTACCTATATATCTTCCTTTAGATTTTAAATATATCTTAACTGGGTTTTCAATCACCTTCATAGTTAAATTGCAAATAAACTGTCCTTTTATCAGATTTGTTAAATTCATGCAAAAGAATATTTTTTAAAGTATTCTGATGGAAGTTTGTGGTTTTCAAAAATAAAAATAAATTGATAATCTGCAGGGGGAAAAATACATTTCATGTTTAAAGAAAGCCAGGAAGCCATCCTGTCTGTCCCTCAGGCAGGCATTGTTAGTCTTGGAAGAGCTTGTTGGCAGTGGGTATGTTAGTGTGATTCCTCCAAGAAAACTCCTAAGTACCTAAATGCAGGTTTGTTATGCTCAAGTGCTTGGTGTCTGAAGTGAACTTTTGTTTTAATCTTAGCATCCTGAATTACTTCCTTAACACATGAGATTAAGTTTCAGGGTGATTTCAGTTCAGAATTCCTGAGTTATCTATCTGTTATCTCCAGCTACCCATGCCACACTTAGAGAATAACCCTGGAGACAAATGGAAATGCAGTAAATGGTGGCATGCTCTCCTGTGCCAAGAGGAACTGAGATGCTAGTTTGTGCTTCTAGCATTGTATGGCTTATCCTCTGCCTACCCCACCCCCATGTGCTCCATTCCAAGTGTGGAAGTCTTCCAAGTAGGCTTTAACTATAAAAGCAGTCATGCAAGGAAATATTTAATTGTTTGTTTGTCTGCTTTTTAGCCCACTGACAAGGAACTGAGAGAGACCACAGCCTTGCTGGCAGCTCAGCAGACCGCTCTGGAAGTTATCGTCAACATGTGCTGCAGTGAAGGTTTGCTGGCAGCTTGCTCTTGCTCTTTTCTCCTGGGCCCAGGGCCACCTTCATAGGCGGAGGGGGGAATCTTTAATACTCCATTATGTGTGGTTCCCACTCTTCCCAGATCCCTCAGATGATGAGTGGGAAGAGCTGTCGAGCAGCGATGAAAGCGATGCCTTCATGGAGACTTCCTTCACTGAGGATGGCGGGCAGCTACTGACCCCACTCTGCCTGTCCCACGAGATTCACACTGCTCTCACTAGCTGCCTTATCCCAAAGAAGGTAACTGGTGTTCACTCCAGGCTGGCGGAGCATGGGAAAGCTCAGCAAGCTGTTCCCTCAGGTACCCAGGGAGTAGACACAAACCTGCAGCTGCAGGTGATGGTACCACTGTGCACCAGACAGAACCAACAGTGCTGGGAAGAGATGAAAGGGTTGTATCTGATCACTCCTAACCATTTCACTTGGAAGGAAGGTGCTGGCATTCGTGCAGAGATCTCGTCTGAATTGACTTTTATTATTGTCCTTTGTCTAGGTATTTGAGAAAACTGCCTTTCCAAGCAGCGTCGCTGTTGACATATGCTCCCAGAGCCCTACTTGGAAACCTTTGATTAGAAAGTAAGAACTTTTCTGTTTTCAGAAACATGTCATTTTGTCCTATGAAGTAGAAAGTACTGTCTCCTGCCGAGACCCAAGGTTCTGTTCCTGAGTAGATGCCCTGGAGCAATGCTGGCTCTTGAGCATGAGGATCCACAGTGGCCCCAGCCTAAACGAGCCTTGATGTCCACCACAGGTTGAATGGGTCAGTAAGTCTGATGTCATCATACAGCTTCTAAAAAGATGTGAATGAGCACCTATGCTCACCACAGGGATAAAAGCGAGCAGGTGCACACTGTGACTCAGCCTTTATAAAGCTCAACACTAAACTAGGGATGCATACCTGGCTGGTGGCCCTGTAAAGATAAGCAAGGAGTTTACTATACAGGTCAGGGAGTGCAAGCTGAAGGGACATGGGCTGTGAGGATCATGTGCAGGTGTGTGGGGGTTTGCCTTATAAATTATTTGTTAAACTTTATGTGTGTGGATCTTCCATCCTAGGTCTTAGTTCACGGTTAAAAATAATTTGAGCTGGGCGCCGGTGGCTCATGCCTGTAATCCTAGCTACTCAGGAGGCTGAGATCTGAGGATCATGGTTCAAAGGGAGCCCGGGCAGGAAAGTCCGTGAGACTCTTATCTCCAATTAACCCCCAGGAAACCAGAAGTGGCGCTGTGGCTCAAGCGGTAGAACACTCACCTTGAGCTGAAGAGCTCAGGGACAGCACCCAGGCCCAGAGTTCAAGCCCCACAACCAACCAAAAAAAAAAAAAAAAAAGAACAAAAAACAACTGAAATTCCTCTAAGTTGGATTTCTTCATGGCTCCCTAACCAGTTCTCTGCTCCTGCACTCCCTTGTACTTAGAGCTATTTTCACTCACAACTTGAAGCATCAGTGAAAAGTTAACTCTGCACCAGCTATAGGGGCACACAACTGTAGTCCCAGGTGGAGGCAGGAAGATCATGAGTCCTGGGCTACATGGCAAAAAAAGAAAACAAAAATTAGTATGAAGTTCCAGTGGGTAAGTTGTCGAGAACAGACAGCATTGTTTTCTTCTTTTACAGGATGAACACTATACAGTGTAGAGCCCTTGTGTGCCTCCAAAGCCTAGTGTCCCTCTTGGATGTGGATCACCTGGGAGGAGCTCCGGCCCTTTACACACTTGCGCAGCACCTTTCAGACCTGCTGTTTTCGCAGCCAGGTAAAGATCTCAGCCTTCATTTGAAAGATTACTTGGACAGAACAGAGTTTTAAAGGGGCAGGAACTTGGATTTTGTAATTGTGTGGTATTTGCCCTTTAATCTGCACAGTCTTTCCCCATACAATAACAAAGTTGCCATTGTACTGAGTCAAGCTGAAGTGTGCCTTTAAGTCCTTGGGTTGGATTTTTCTTTTATTAAATTTTATACATCCAATTATGTTAGTACAATTAAGGCTGAATCATATCATGAAGGCCTCATTAAGTTATTTGGAGTGGGGTAGGGATTTAGCTCAATGGAAGAGCACTTGCCTGGCAAGTGCAAGGCCCTGAGTTCAGTCCTCGGTGCTGGAAAAAAAATTTTTTTTGGATAACCAGGCACTGGTGGCTCGTGCCTTTAATCCTAGCTACTCAGGACACTGAGATATGTGGATCATGCTTTAAAGCCAGCCTGGACAGAAAGGCTGTAAGATTCTTATCTCCAATTAACCACCAGAAAACCATAAGTGGCTCAGAATGGTACAGTACTACTAATCTTGAGCAGAAGAGCTCAGAGACAGTACCCAGGCCCTGAGTTCAACCCCTTGGCCGACCAAATAAATGTGTGTGTTCGCATAATTTTCAATTCTTAATTGTAAGAATGTAAGCAGGTTGCCAATGGCTCATGTCTATAATCCTAGCTACTCTGGAGGCTGATATCTGCAGATCTGGGTTTGAAGCCAGCCTGGGCAGGAAAGGTCTTGAGTTTCTTATCTCCAGTTAACCACTGAAAAGCAGGAAGTGGTAGAACTCAAGTGGTAGAGCATCAGCCTTGAGCAATAATGCTAAGGGACGGTGTCTAGGCCCTGAATTCAAGCCCCAGGACTGGTGCACACACACAAAAATTACTCATTACCTGACTTGAGTAAATGTATCCTCTCTGTACATCACCTTTATAATAACAAAATAAAAATAAAAAGTAAAGGGTTGGGAAGTGGCTTAGTGGGATAGTATTTGCCTAGCATGCATAAAGCCCTGGGTTCAATTCCTTAGCACCACATAAATAGAAAAAGCTGAAAGTAGTATAGTAGCTCAAGTGGTAGAGTGCTAACCTTGAGCAAAAAGAAGCTTAGGGATAGTGCCCAGGCCCTGAGTTCCAGTCCCAGGACTGGCTAAATAAATCAATAAATAAATAGTAAAAAAACCCCAAAAAACCCAGTTTAAAAACAATTAAATTTGATTGGATGATACATAGGAAAAAAATGTAAAAGTAATTAGAAGTTGTAAAATTGATAGGCGCTTCCTTTGTCTTAGTTCCTCTCCCAGGTCACATCACTGTTAACCAAATTTATTTGCTTGCAGAGTCTCAACGATAAGCGAGGGGCTGGGAAGGTGGCTCAGTGGTAGAGCGCTTGCCTTGTATGCATGAGGCCTTGGGTTCGATTCCCCAGCACCACATAAGCAAAAAGAAAAAAGCCGGAAGTGGCGCTGTGGCTCAAGTGGTAGAGCGCTAGCCTTGAGCTGACGAGCTGAGGGACAGCGCCCAAGCCCAGAGTTCAGGCCCCAACCAAAAAAAAAGAGAGACCCTAGCATCGACAGTGATGGCGCAATTCCTCACACAGTTCTCTACCTTTTTTTTTTTTTTTTTTGCCATCTTGCTTTTGTAACACATCTTTTGTCAAATGCCTTTGCATGGAAGTTACTGAATCTCTTAGATTATAGCTCCTATGGATTAATTTCATTTATGCTCAAAAACCTAGAGTGATTTTGTTTTTGTTTTTTGTGCTTGTGCTAGGACTTGAACTTTGGACTTTACTCTCTCCCTTAGCTTTTTCACTCAAGACTCGCACTCTGTCACATGAACCACATCTCCATTTTTGTCTTTTTGCTGGTTAATTGGAGTATCGTGGACTTTTTTTGCATGGGCTGGTCTTGAACCTCAGTCCTCAAAATTCAGCCTCCTAAGTAGCTAGGATTATGGCATAAGCCACCAGCAGCAGGCCATAAATTTTATTTTTAATTTAAAAGTGTTTATATGTAGTTTCAGGCCACAATTTATAGGCCATGATTGCAAAAATACTAATCTAAGGGAGATGTGGTTACTACTTATTAAATCAAATTCACCAATCCAAACAAACAAAAACCAACTGATTTAATTGAGCTAAGAATAAACTGGGAAACTCTTCAGACAGGATGGGTTCCATGAGGCTCTCTCAACATTATTTTTATATGACCCAGCCAGCCATACACAGTGTGGTGCAAGCTCCTCCACACTATCACGGAATTTGGGGGTCCCCTAATGCATTACCTGGAATCCAGGATCCCCTCATTCAGGCTTAGATCAGAAGGATCTCAGTTTCAGGCCAGCCCAGGCACAAAAGTTTTTGAGACCTCATCTCAACAGAAAAGACTAGGGTGACAATGAGCACGAAGCATAAATAGGAGGATTGTGTTCCAAGCCAGTCCAGTAAACAAACAGAATTCTATCTCAAAAATAACCAATGCAAGCCCAGGGTCAGTTGCTCACGCCTATAATCCTAGCAACTCAGGAAGTCGGATCTAAGGATTGCAGTTCAAAGCCAGCCTGGGCAGGAAGTCTGTGAGACTCTTATCTCCATTAAATTATCAATAAAACCAGAAGTGGAGGCTTAAGAGGTAGAGTGGTAGCCTTGAGCAAAAAAACTCAGGGACAGCACCTAGGCCCTAAGTTCCAGCCCAGGGCTGGTGTGCATGCTCACACATGTGCACACACACACACACACACACACACACACACAAATAGACAAAAAGGAATGGAGCTTGGGCTCAAGTGGAAAACTCAGAATTCAGACCCTAATACTGCCAAATATATATACTGCATAACTGACTATCTCATAGGATTTCATTATAAGAGAGTTCATTGTTATTCCAAAATAAATAACCAGGATATTACTTTGGGGGCCAGTTCTTACCTCCATTTCTCCAAGTATCAGTGTTAGGAGACACAGGAGGGCATAGGACACAGAACAGACCTGAGCAACATGGACATCAAAAGACATGATAATGGCAATCCTTCTCCAGTAGTAACTTTTCCTGTCTGCAATCCAATCCCTTTCATGTGTGGAGGGCCAATTAACATGTCCAACCCTTGTCATCTATTGTGACAGTGGCTGTAGAAGGTGATATCTACAAAAACAACATAGTGGCTTTCAAGACACATCAGAATGTTCTTAACCTAGCAGCATGTCACAAAAATTTGTTCCTTTCTTTTTCTTAAGATTATGTCGGTAGCCAGGAGCATAGGATTTTATTTAAAACTATCAAAGTGCAGGGCTGGGAATGTGGCTAGGTGGTAGAGTGCTTGCCTAGCATTCATGAAGCGCTGGGTTCTATTCCTCAATGCCATATAAACAGAAAAAGCCAAATGTGGCCCTGTGGCTCAAGTGGTAGAATGCTATCAAAAGAAGCTCAGAGACAGTGCCCAAGCCCTGAGTTCAGTCCCCAGGGCTGGCAAAACAAATCAAAACAGAAATAAATCTATTACAAAGTGCTTAGTTACCCTGACCATAGTTCAGAAGCCATCCATCATTCTCCCAGGCTTCAGCTTGGTGTGGTCTCTGTGGCCCCAGCAGTCATGTGTGCAGAGGAAGCCACATGATCTGGGAGAAACATACCCAAGTGCTTCTGTATATAGCAGAAGCAAAGAACAGGTGCATTCATTACAGCAAAGAAGCCTTTCTGCTGGCTGGGGATAGGCCCTAGGTACTGGGACTTCACTCGCTGGGAAACGATTCAAAAGCAAGAGATGACAGCTATAGACCAGAGCTTGACAAAGTCAGCTCATGGCTGGCAGCACTTGGAAGCGGTTAGGAGATATGAGTGGGCCCTGCTCATTGGGACCCTGGCTGTAGATTCCTGTTTGACTCTGCTCCCTGCCTCAGACCACAGGAATGAGCGGATGGCTAGGGACATGAGGAGTGAGGGCACCTCCTCCTAGTCTTGAGGGTATCAGGCTGGCTAAAGGGACAGAATGCCAGCAAAGGCCAGAATGACCCTCCCCTCCCCTGTCCTCCCCCATCCCCAACATCTACACCACCTCAGTATGTTCCAGGTTCCTAAGAAGGTTCAGGGTGAGGGGGAAATGTGGCTGGTCATGATCAGGCCAGCCACCTCTGCTCCAATGGTCAGATTGTGCCAGCTACTCACTTTTATGGGCTTGAGTGAAATAAGATTCCAGACAATGTACTAGAGGGCCCAAATTTCAGGTAATGTACCAGGGGACCCTGGATTCCACATAAATGTACTATGGGACCCCAGATACTAGACAATACTCTAGATTGGCAGACAGACACGATTGCACCTATTGGTTAGGATTACTATCTCACAGACTTTTCACCAGGGCTGAGATCCTCCAGTTTTGAGAGAAGATATTCTAATACAGTCCTTTTAGACGCCTGTGATTTAGTTAGATGTAATTTTATGAGTATGTATGAATAATGTTTTTGGTGGATTTGGTGGGGAGGATGAGGCTAAATTGCTTACCTTTTTTGTTAACTGTATTTGAAAGTTAAATGCATGAGACTGATACAGCTCTAATTTGTTTTATTTTTAATGCTAAAATACAGTTCTGAATAGTTATGAAGTTTATATGAGTCTCTGTACATGCCAACATTATGCTTTTGGCTAGCACCAGGGATAAAATGACAGATGTTTTAGTTTGATTCTTGCATTAAAAGCATCATTATCTTTTTCCCTCTTGTTAGGAGCTGCTGATTTTCAAAACACCTAATTTTCAATGATGTTGAATTCTTTTTTTTTTTTTTTATACTTTGCTTATGTGGTGCTGAGGAATCGAACCCAGGGCCTCAGGCATGCAAGGCAAGCGCTCTACCACTGAGCCATCTTCCCAGCCCTGATGTTGAATTCTTATTCTGTCAGTTGGGCTCCATTACATTGTTTAGGATTCTATTTTCCTAGATTCTGGAAGTTGGAATCATTTTTTTTGCTATTGTTGGTATTGTAGTTAGAATGGTAGTATCCCATTCTGGGATATATTTTCTATTCCACATCTGGGTGTTAACAATCAATCTGAAAATTCATTAGAACATAATCTGCTGTCTGATTTGTAGGTTGACTACTTACATTTAGGTGTGCTGCAGCTTCTTTGGTGCTATGTAATGTTCTCAGAAACTTTTTTGTTTGTTTTGGCAGTAGCATAGGATTTGAACCCAGGGTCTCCTGCATGCTAAGCAAACTCTGTTCTACTGCGCTATATTCCCAGCCCAGAAAGACATTTCAAATCTTACCCCTTTTTAACTTCTTTGAGTATTTCCTCAATTTCTTAGGGAATGCCAGGTCTGCTGACCTGTTAACTGAAACTATATCTGGATGGGTTGAAGTATCTTTCTCAAACTTGGATGAATGACCAGAAATGTTTTCCTTGCCTAGATAAGGCTATAGGGTGAGACCTTGTCTCAAGAAAAACAATAGGGCTGGGAAGGTGGCTCAGTGGTAGAGCGCTTGCCTTGCATGCCTGAGGCACTGGGTTGGATTCCTCAGCACCACATAAACAAAATGACAAAAGCCGGAAGTGGCGCTGTGGCTCAAATGGTAGAGCACTAGCCTTGAGCTGAAGTGCTGGGGGACAGCACCCAGGCCCAGAGTTCAGGCCCCACGATCGGAACCCCCCCACACACAAAAAAAGAAAAGAAAAAAACAATAGTTTCTCACAATAGTTTTTTTTTTTCCTTTGGGTCCGGTCGTGGGGCCTGAATGCTGGGCCTGGGCGCTGTCCCTCAGCTCTTCAGCTCAAGGCTAGCACTCTACCACTTGAGCCACAGCGCCACTTCCGGCTTTTATCTTTTTGTTTATGTGGTGCTGAGGAATCAAACCCAGGGCCTCAGGCATGCAAGGCAAGCGCTCTACCACTGAGCCACCTTCCCAGCCCTCACAACAGTTTTTGAGAAGCTGCCTGCTTCTCACATAAGCAATTGAAAGTAGGGCTTCAGAACTAGAACAAGGTCTCCAGCACCAGAGAGCAGGAAACCATGCTATCTTTGCTATATTACAAATTAGCCCAAACAATGACTTTAAACAGCAGTAATTACAACACTGGTGGGTCACACCTGTAATCCTAGCTACTTAGGAGGCTGAGATCTGAGGATAGCAGTTTGAAGCCAGCTCAGGTAGGAAAGTTTGAGATTCTTATCTCCAATTAACCACTGAAAAAAGCTGAAAGTGGACCTGTGGCTCAAGTGATAGAGAGCTAGCCTTGAACAAAAAAGCTCCGGGACAGCATCCAGGCCCTGATTTCAAGCCCCAGGACCAACACAAAAAATAAGAAATCAGTAAAAACAGCAGTAATTAATACTGTCTTTTATTATCTAGCCGGTCATTCATATGTCCTGTCCATTGAAGAAGTCACACATCACAACTAGATTCAAGGTGTGGGGGAACATGCTTCCCCTTCTTTGTGGGAAGGGCAGGCATCCAGAGCAGGGCAGTGTTGCTGTGACCCTTTTGGAAGTTACAGTCGTAACACACCAGTGCTTTCCCTTCCCATTGAAGTGCAGGGATTCTCACTCACCCTTGCCAGTGACTACCTGCACCATCCCCTGTAACTGCTGCTCCTATGTGGGAAGAGGGTCAGTTGGAAAATGGATAAGGAGCTGGGGTGGGGTTGGTGAAGACCTGGGGGCAGGGCAGCCTAGACCCCTTGGCTGCAGTTCCTGGCTTGCAGTGGGCTAGGGTTGGCAAGAAGGCTGGCGTGGGAGACAACTTAACCAGGGGGCTGCCTGGTACCATGATGGAGGTGGGTGAGACTGAGTTCCTGCACAGCAGGTGGCTCAGGCCCGTCCTATTCCAGAGTGAGTCCAGAGAACACCACCACACTAGGGCAGGACATCTCCCCTGGTCATCTTTAGACTCCACAGCTATACTGCCCAGAGCTCTGTGAACTAAACATTGGCTTAAATATCAAGAATTAAAAAAAAATTAATCATAGCATATGCTAACATGTGGCATGCTTCCTTTAATCCAATTTTCTCAGAATAGCTTGTCTTGGGAGAGAGAACTTGACTTGATCTTTGTGTTTTGTGGTAACTTTCTGTTTTAGGTTTTGCTGACCACCCGGACTTTCTAGAAGCCATAACTAGTGCCTTGAGGGCCCTTTTGCAAACAATGGCCTCTAATAACCTTCCCCAGGTAAGATTTTTGAAAACTACTTTGAAACTTGGAAGTGTCTTCTTGTTGGAAGTGCTTCTGTGGCCATACAACTGGATGTTGATTTTTTGGTTTTGTTTTCACTCCCTCTGGTTTTTTGAGACAGGGCCTCAGTATGCAACGTAGTCTGGCCTTGAACTCTCTGATCTTCCTTCACTCTGCCTCCCAAGTGCTGGGATTAAGGGCATGCACCAATAAGTCCAGCTAATTACTCTTTTTGATGCAAAAGTTGACCCATTTTAAACAAGAGGGTTTTTTGTTGTTGGTGCTGCTGTTTTTGTCTTCTGTTTGACTTGTTTGTTCCTTTATCTGTCTTTGGGAGGGCAAGGAGGGGTACAGAAATGGAGGGACGAAGGGTGAACAAATGCAGAGTGGGACTCCTTGGACACTGTGTTAAAAATGACCTATACAACTTGTGGGTAGGGACAGGAGGGAAAAACTGGGAGAGAGTGAGGGAAGGGGTGACATTGTCCAAAAATAAATGTACTCTTTATCTTACATAACTGTAACCCCTCTGTACATCACCTTTACAATTACAATTTTTTTTTAAAGTTGACTCATTTTAGATAGTAGGAATCCTTTCAGGTTGGCTTCTGTGTCTCTTGACATGGACCTTATGTCTGAGCCTTAGATTGGTTTTTTTCCCTCAGTGCTGGGGATTGAAGCCAGAGATTGAGTTAGTTTGTTTTTATTTTGTTTTGTTTTGTATTCCATTCTGGGAATTTTTGCTGTTGTTGTTACTGTGCAACAAAATGGATGCCGTTGACTTCATGCTAGTATGTTCTCTATGATTTAAAAGCTTCTTTGTATATTTGAAAGTGTGTGTGTGTTTGTGTGTGTGTGTGTGTGTCCTGGGGATTGAACTCAGCTTGGGTGCTGTCCCTGAGCTTATTTTTGCTCAAGGCTAGCTCTCTACTGCTTGAGCCACAGCTCTACCTCTGGCTTTTATTTTTAAAAAATTGTAATAAAAGTGATATATAGAGGGGTTACAATTGAGAATTCTTTTAACATAATTGTTAGCCTTCTCTTTCTGTGAAATGAAAATGACAATAACACATAGCTTGCCATGTGGCTGTAGAGCCTATAGAAAAATATGGTATTTTTGCTTATTTTCTTTCTTTTATATGTCAGTTATAGGGCTTGAACTCAGGGTCTGGGGCACTGTCCCTGAACTCTTTTGTTCAAGGCCAATACTCTACCACTTTGAGCCACAGCTCCACTTCTGGTTTTCTGGTGATTAATTGGAGATAAGAGAGAGTCACTAGCGCCTGGCAATGCCCAGGCTGACTTTGAATTGCAATACTCAGATCTCAGCCTCCTGAGTAGCTAGGATTATAGGCATGAACTACTGGCACTAGCTTTTGCTCTTATTTTCTGTGGCATGCGGGGAGCAGTTACTGGGCCTATCTGCTAGTTACAGAAAACTACTTGAGCCAGGTATGGTGATGAATACCTGTAGCCTTACCCTTAATTCCAGCAAAAGGATGGCAAGTTCAAGGCCAGCATAGGTTGCACAGCAAGACCCTGTCTCAAAAAAGAAAAACAATTAGTTAAAGCTGTGCTCAGTTAGAAGTAACTGTTCATGTATGTTAGAGCTAACTGTTCATGTATGTTAGAGGTAACTGTTCATGTATGTTAGAAGGAACTGTTCATGTATGTTAAGATTCTGGCTCCTCAGGCTCACTATATCATAGGTGTTAAGAACTCAGCTTCTTTAGCCTTGAGCAAAAGAAGTTCAGAAGCAGTGCTCAGGCCCTGAGTTCAAGCCCCAGGACTGACAAAGAAAAAAAAGAACTCAGCTCCTGGCTGGGTATGTGGCTTAGTGGTAGAGTGCTTGTCTTGCATGCATGAAGCCCTGGGTTCAATTCCTTGGTACCACATAAGCAGAAAACGTCAGAAATGGCACTGTGGCTCAAATGGTAGAGTGCTAATCTTAAGCACAAAGAGGCTCAGGGACAGAGTTAAAGCCCCAGGACCAGCAAAACAAAACTCAGCAAGTATCACACTAGTGGGATAGTGCGGAACTCAGGACCTGGCTGCCGCTTCCCTAGCCTCTTTACCTTGCAGGCTTATGTGCATTCGGTGACTTGTTTGAGTTCTGCTAATACTGCAACATACCTGTGATTCACCATAGTTACTGCAGAATTTTCTTTGTGGGTAGTGTTAGGGTTTGAACCCAGGATCTTCTGCTTGCTAGGCTGATGCCCTACCACTAAGCCACATGCCCAGCTCAGCCCTGTCATTAGAGTATTTCCTGGGAAATCAGGCACCATCAGCTGTTCTTTCTCATTGGGCAAAAGCCATGCAGAAGATTCAGAAATAAGTGAAAGGCAGATACTGAGTTTGAGTCTCAATCTCTGACCTAAAATAAAGAAAAGAAAGAAGCTTAAGGGTTTACAAATACTCACTGCCATTAATATCAGTGAATGTTTTGTGTGCACTGTTGGATCCATGTAGCTCTTTGTGGATGTCTGTGGCCCTGCCCTCCTGTGCGAAGTGGATAACATTTAGAATCAAGTAACCTGTGCTGGAGTGCCAAGAGGTCCAAGCATAGCTGGGATTTGAAACCTGGAAAGTCTGGCTCTATACTATCTTTTTTTTTTTTTAATCTTTGTTCAAGTCTGAGATTCAGACTCACTACCTGACACATTTACTCATTGGCTAGTGCTCTACTAATGAGCCATGCCACCAACCCCTGACCATCTTTTTCTCATTGCTCTGTGCTGCTGGTTAGAGTCATGGCCAGGCAGTGCAACATTCATGGAACTTGCTCCTAAACTTGTGCACAAATTAGCTCAAGCTGAAAATTACCACCACATAGCACTATATAACTTGATGATTTTTACAATATTTAGTAACTTACACAAAAACATCTCAAAATTCTTACATTATTTGCACTCTGTTTTTGTATATGTGTGTGGTAGTCCTGGGGCTTTAACTTGGGGCCTAGGTGCTGTCTACTACTTGAGCCACAGCTCTACTTCCAGCTTTTAGGTGATTAAGTAGAGATAAGAGTCTTACAGACTTTCCTGCCTGGGCTGGTTTCAAACCAGCCCTGAGATGTCAGTCTCCTGAGTAGCTAGGAATATAGATATGAGCCACCAGCACCTGGCTACACAAAGGCTACTTTCAAAACTTTATTTTTTGTTTTGGTGGTTCTGGGGTTTGAATTGAGGGCCTTGTGCTTGCTAGACAAGCAGTCTACCACTTGAACCATATCCCCCAGCCCTTTTTGCTTCAATTATTTTTCAGATAGGGTCTTCTGCTTTTTACTGAGCTGGCCTCAGACTGAAATCCCCCTATCCTACATCCCCTGCATAGCTAGGATGACAGGTGTGTACCACCATGCCCAGCCAATTTGCTGTGATTAGTTCTCATTATTTTTTTTTCTGGGCTGAACTCCAGTCACCGTTTTCCTCCTGAGTAGCTGGGATTATAGGCATTAGCCACCTTACCCAACTATATGTTCAAACTTTCATGATCAATATAAAATAGAAGTGGAATCTGTTTAGTATATGTACATTTGAAATGAAAGTCTTCAAATGAAACTAATAGGACTTAAAGCTCCTTAAATATTGGATAGTAACAAGTGACATGAGAAGGACTCATCTTAGCTCAGAATACTTAAGTTCTCTGCCAGGTGCTCACTCTGTCTTTGGCCTCATACAGTAGCCCATAGAAGAGATTGCTGGCTTTCATTTGCCATTGGAATGGTGGGGTGTAACTCTGTTCATATGCCCCCTTCCTCTCAACAGTGCATGACACCCGAGCAGCTGATGACACTGTGCAGAGCTGGCATTGGGAGCAGCAATGTCGGGGTTCGAGTGAACGTTGTCAGTATTTCAGGAATCACTGGCAGCATGCTGGCCAAAGAAAGTGGGACACTTGACACTCTTAAGGTAAAACAGTTTGCTCCCAGAATGGATGTGAAATACTGGAATACTGGGGAAGAGGGGAAGAATTGGCACAGGGTTTCTAATGCTTGTGCGGGCCCCATGAGAAGACACTAGCAACAAGTTGCTGAAGGTACTTTCGTACAAGGATCCCTTTGGGGTGATCTAATGCAGGTGTAAGATAAATACTTTAAACTTAAGCCTCATTTTTGCCATTTAACTACCTGAAATGCTTTCTCTGTGTGTGTGTGTGTGTGTTTCTCCCACTCCGTTAAGGGCTGATTGTCACTTTAATGGAACAGTAACCTCTTCTCAACTATACAATTTGTAAATCTTGTTAGTTACATTTCTAAGCATGTAAAAGGTAGTAACCACTAAGTTTGTGCCCCATAACAGATCAACAATTAATGTTCTATCTGTGTACTTTATGGAGCTTCTCTTCTGGGTATGTAAGTAAATTACAGACCTGGCGTTTTCCCCTATCGGTTTAATTGTGTCTATTATAAATAGGGACAATATTTTACTTGACTGCCATTGTTATGCCTTCTGCAGCTGTCATTTCTTGATGTGTCTACTTCCTAGTCCATTCATAAGCTCCCAGTTGGATCCAGTCTACCTCCTTGTGGGTGGTTTAAATCAGGAAAGCCAGGGATTCTGCCTGGGTTGGGATTGTGTGCGTCTTTCTCTCTTGACCTTGGTTCTCCCCAAACCACCTGTTTGTCCTCATCATCCAGATCAGCACCCGGCAGACTGTCCAGCCTTGTGGATCTGTCTGACTGCTTCCTTGTGGTTGTAGGCTTCTTCCTCTGTCCTTTCTACTTCCTGCCAGCTGGAAGCTAGATGTAGAGGCTGGATTTGATTGAGCCAAGGATTCAGATCCTTGTTTTAATAAGACTACCTCATAGGTAGTGCTGTGTACTTTGAGTTATATTCTGGAGGAGAAAAATCAGGGCCCAGAGAGCTTAACCAACTGGCCAGGGATCACCTTATTCCTTAGCCACATGACCTAGCTGCACATCACCCAGAGATGCTGGGAGGCAGATCAGACAGGCTACAGAAGGTTATTCTGCACCTTCACACTTTGAGAATGCTCTCGTTAGCTCTGTGGGGCTGGGGACTGGGGGTGGGGGGTATCAACCAAGATGGTGAGGCAAAATTGCTGGGTTAATTTACTGGTTTTCATCTACTTTTGAAAGCAGATTTCGTTGTTACAGGTAAGACTTCTGTGCCTTGAACACTATACAGAAGCCTTTTCAAGGGAGTTCTAATATTTCCAAAATCAATTTTTCCAATATTATTGTGGATCTTAATTCACTTTATTTAGGAATGTAAAGTATAATACTCTTCTGTTATGTTAGTATGCTTGTAAGTATTTGTAACGTCTTAGTTCTTTAATACGTTATCATTTCTGCTGTATCATTTCTGTATGAAACAGGATGATAGCAGGATTAGAATGTACAATGATAGCAGGTTACCTGTGTGTGTTGTTCCAGACCATTGGGTGCTTTCTGCTTGAGATCGCCACCAAAGACCCTTCCCTCGTGGTTGTAGGAGAAGCTCTGGATGCCCTCTTTGATGTCTTTGCAGATGGGGAGGAAGCTGAAAGGGCTTCAATCCAAATAAAATTGCTATCTGCTCTCAAAGAATTTCAGCCTGTCTTCAAAACGAAGGTTTGTAGCTGCTTTACTTGTAGATGCACAAGTCTGAGTGTTCTCCAGGGAGTGTTCTCCATGTGTAGACTGCAGCAGCCCCTGTAAATGTCAGCGATTACCAGAGCACTTTATCCCAAATGCTTGCTCACTGAGTTATAGATCTGCAATGATGCCCAATCTTTGGAATTGGAGCCAGATTGGCATTTGACCAGCTCCTTGTACTCTACCATGCTTTATGTATGTGAATGCCGTGACCTGTACCCACCAAGCACTTTCATGTAGTACATCTGAGCTACAGCCCAGCCTCTGAAGAACTCAGAGTCTGGGTACTGTCCCTCAGCTTTTTGTTTGCTCAAGACTGGTACTCTACTACTTGAGCCATGCCTCCACTTAGGCTTTTTTTTCCCCCAACTCCTAACCTTCTGAATAAGAAGACTGGCCCACCAATCCGTTTTGTAGCACACTTTCCAAATGTTTCTGTTGGGACTGGGAAGGTGGCTCAGTGGTAGAGTGCTTGCTTTGCATGCATGAGGCTCTGGGTTCGATTCCTCAGCACCACATAAGAAAAAAGCCGGAAGTGGCACTGTGGCTCAAGTGGTAGAGCACTAGCCTTGAGCTGAAGAGCTGAGGGACAGTGCCCAGGCCCAGAGTTCAGGCCCCACGACCGCCTCCCCCCCCCAAAAAAACAAATGTTTCTGTTGCACCCTAAAACTTCACCTTTGCTGGAGTGCCATAAAATTCATTCTTTTAAAGTATGACTCTACCAGGCCTCATGTCTCTAGCCTGTAAATCTTAAGCTACTTGTGAGGCTGAAATGGGAAGGATCAAAGTTCCAGGCCAGCTTAAGCAAAAAATTGGGGCGATCCCATGTCAACAGAAAAAGCTGGGTATGGTGGCATATGCTTGTCATCCCAGTTACAGTGAGAAGCATAATTAAAATTGTGATCCAGGGTGGCCTAGGCAAAAAAATAAGCGAGAAAGAAAACAGACAGGGACAGAGCTCAAGTGGTAGAGTGGCTGCCTACCAAGTCCTACCAAAAATTAATCATTAAAAGGGTGCACATTCTAAATATATCTTTATTCTTTGTATTTCATTTAACTTGGGAGTAAAACTGTTTCACCAAATTCTTGAAGTCTTGGGTGTAAAATAGTTACATATGCCCCAAATTAAATACTTACTTTATTTAAATGAATTTGTAATAGATACCAAATTGCATACTTTTTTTTTTTTTTGATCAGATACGAAAGGAAGGAAGAGGTAAATACAGTCCAGATCAGCTGTGTGTTCTTGACAATGTGAAGATGAACTTGAGAAGGTTTATTGCTTATCAAGAAACTGTGGAGAAAAGACTGACTTCCTGAAACATCAGAAGAGACTCAAGACTCTCTCCTGGGGGCATGGTCAGAGGTGGAGTGCTTGTGTATGATGTGGGAAGGCCTGGGTCTGTCCCCAGTGCCACAAAAAGAGACCAACTTCCCAAAGGAGTTGATGCTGCAAATATATGCTTCCAAAAGCTCTTGGAATGCTTGTACTTTGAACTTTAATTTGAAGTTCATTTAAAAAAAAAGTAAAATCTGTAAGAAACGTGTGCTTGGGCTGTGGGTTCTGTGCATTTGCCTATGTGTCTCCAGCAAACTTCATTCCCCGGGAACAAAGTGTTTTTATGCACGCACTCTGCTCTGAACCACATACCTGGCCCACATCTGGTTCCCAACCACTTCCTGGGCAGTAAAGACATTTTCAACAATCATGCCCTTGAATTTTGCAAGACAGCAAAGTCTCAATCATTACCTGGGTACTTTTTTAAGCCACAAATTTTTTTATTAGCTGAAACTAACTGAAATATGCAGTCCTGAAGTGCTATATACTATTGTGAAAAAGTAATTGAATTTATTTGTATCACTCAGGGGCTGGTACTGATGAGCTACGGAGGTGACAGTAATCTCATGGTGACATGATCAATCACTGCCTTGATTTAATATGGTTTAGAGTCAGAATTATAGAACATATTTTGAATAAATAACATTTTCACTAAAAGCTTTGTGTATTATAAATTCCTTTTTTTGTAATACTACACACATCTATTTCTGGGTGGCCTGCCTCACCTGTGTGTAAAGTATTGGAAAATACTTCAAGAGTCTAAAAGTATGAGGTAACAACTAGCTTACAGCAGAAACTTTCCTGCCCAAGGTGGCTCAGTGGTAGAGCGCTTGCTGTGCATGCCTGAGGCCCTGGGTTCGATTCCTCAGCACCACATAAGCAAAAGAAAAAAGCAGGAAGTGGCGCTGTGGCTCAAGTGGTAGAGCGCTAGCCTTGAGCTGAAGAGCTGAGGGACAGCACCCATGCCCAGAATTCAGGCCCAACGACTGGACCCAAAAAAAAACAAAAAAAAAAAACTTTCCTGCCCATTGTGGTCCTGAAGCAGGCTGTGGTTTGCTCCATTGTCCATTAGTTGGAAGAACTGTCCATGGAGATTTGAATTTTCCACACAATCGGTCTCAGTTGTCTTGATTAAAAGACAAATATTTGATTATTTTGGTGCTAGGGGTTGACCTAGGGCCTTGCTCACACTAGGCAAATGCTGTACCACTGAACTAAATCTGACACTTTTATCTCCAATTAATACCAAAAATTGGAGCAAAAAGCCAGAAGTGGATGTATAGCTCAAGTGGTAGAGTGATAGCCTTGAGTGAAAAAAGCCAAGCCAGAATGCAAGCCTGAGTTCAAGCCCCAGTTCTAACACACACACACACACACACACACACACACACACACACACACACACACAGAGGCCAAAAAAAAAAGGTGTATTGAGACTTGTTTCATCACCTGCTGTGGTCTATCAAGGAGAATATGCTGTGTGTTTTAGATGTCAGTTAACATTGTATCCAGGATGCAAATTTTTTTGAGACTTTTTCTTGCTATGTAAGTCCTGCCCCACCAATGTAAGGGCTGAGATTACAGGCATGAGCCTGCTCAAGTCTGGAGTACAATTTGTGTGTGTATGTACCATTTCTGGGGCTTGAACTGGTCTTAGCTTTTTTTGCTCAAAATTGGCCCTTTACCACTTGACCCACACTTCCAGCTTTTTGGTGGTCACAGAATAGATTCTCACAGACTTTTTTGGCCTGACCTGCCTCCAAACCACAATCCTCAGAGATCTTAGCCCCCTAAGTAGCTAGGACTGCAAGTGTGAGCCACCGGCTCCTGGCAAAGCAGTGATATTTCTTTCCTTAAGCAAACACATAAGAAGTGGAATACTTGAAAACAGCTTTGGTGAGAAACAAAAGTGGCTTTATCGCTAATTCCCTTGAATATAAGTGGAAGAAATTCCCATTATTACGTGAGTGAATGAATGGATAAACATGCATTGCTTACAGAAAACACACTTCACCTCTAGGGATAGAGACAGGAAAGGGAGGCATGGAATAAGATCTTGCCTGTGAGTGTTGCACAAAAGAAAGCAGGACTGGCTAGTGCCAGTGGCTCACGCCTGTAATCCTAGCTACTTAGGCTGAGATCTGAGGATTGCAGTTCAAAGCCAGCCCAGCAGGAAAGTCCATGAAACTCTTATCTCCAAGTAACTACCAGAAAAACAGAGTGGCACTGTGGCTCAAGTGGTAGAGTACTCACCTTGAGCTGAAGAGCTCAGGGACAGCCTCAGGCCCAGAGTTCAAACCCCCTCCCCCCAAAAAGGGGTGGGAAGGTGGCTCAATGGTAGAGTGCTTGTCTCTCATGCATGCATGCGACCCTAGGTTCGATCCCTCAGCACCACATAAGCAGAAAAATCTGGAAGTGGTGCTATGGCTCAAGTGGTAGAGCACTAGCCTTGAGCTGAAGAGCTGAGGGACAGCAAGAGCTGAAGGACAGCACTCAGGCCCAGAGTTCAAGGCCCACAACCAACCCTCCCCCCCCAAAAAAAGACAAGAAAGGTCACTATATAATGATAAAACATGAGGAAAAAGCGGGTGCCAGTGGCTCACGCCTATAATCCTAACTACTCAGGAGGGCTTAGATATGAGGATCTCAGTTCAAAGCTAGCCTGGGCAGGAAAGTCCGTGAGACTCTTATTTACAATTAACCACCAGAAAACCAGAAGTGATGCTGTGGTTCAAGTGGTAGAGTGCTAACCTTGAGCTGAAGAGCTCAGGGACAGCACCCAAGCCCAGAGTTCAAGCACCATGACTGCAACAACAAAAAGGAAGGAAAGAAGGAAGGAGAGAAGGAAGGAAGGAAAAGAAAAAGAGAAAAAAGAAAACTGGAAGTGGTGCTGTGGCTCAAGTGGTAGAGCCTGTGAAACTCCTATCTCCAATTAATCACCAAAAATCCAGAAATGGAGGTGTGGCTCAAGTGATAGAATCCCAGTCTTGAGTGACAAAAGCAGGGACAGCGCCCACACTTTGAGATCAAGCACACATAACACATCTTGTTCTGAACTAGATTGCTTGAGGCCTCTGGCTTTATGGCCAGCTCTCTAAAACACTGAGGGCCCCATGACAGGCAGAATAGACAGAATCTTGTCCTGCACAGAACTTGTGGGACTAGTACTATGAAGAAGGACTGCCTGTAGCTTTGAGGCTCTAGAAGAAGCTTAACCTGGTTGGAAAGGTCCAGAAGGCTTAGTAAGGAAGCAGGAATCGTTTTCAGTAAGAGAACAACGTGTGCAAAGATCCTGGGGCCATGGGGAGTGAGGCAAGCTGTAGGGGTCAGAAGAAGCTCCAGGGCGTCAAACGGTGTTACATCATTAAAATTACTGGGAAAGTGAAGTCCTTAGAAGTGAACCAGCCAGATGAGTACAGGCCACTTATGAGGTAAATGGGTTTGGTTCAGTGTAGTATAGACCTTGGAGGCTCCAGTAGTAAATGCTAACAGACTAATTCCACACAGGAGGAATCAGTAAGACAGGAAAGTGCTTAGGTGGACTCAGTTCTATGGCTTACACCATGTGGTGGCTGGTGGTATATTCACCAGCACCGGAAATTCTGGAAGAGGATCAGTCTAGGGCAAAAGCTGATTGATTTTCAATGTTCCTATATCAGAGAAATATTCTAAGATGTTAAGTTTAATTACAAAGAGAGTAGAGGGGAAAGAGATAAAGGACATCAGCTGTTTAGAATATGCAGAACCTAGGCACTGGTGGCTCAGGCCTGTAATTCTAGCTACTCACAAGGCCGGGAACTTGAGAATCTAGGTTAGAAGCCAGCCTAGAAAGGAAGGGTATTGAGACTCTCTGTCTCCAAAATAACAAAATACTGGACTGGAGGTGGGCCTCAAAGTGGTAGAGAACCAGCTGTGAGTAAGCAAGCCAAGAGAGTAGTTAAGGCCCTGAGTTCAAGCCATGGCACAAAAGAAAGGAAGGAGCTGGGAAGGGAGGTGAAGGGTAAACAAAGGAGGAGGCTGCAATGCTTGGTAAGAAATGTATGCATTATCCTGCCCGTGTAATTGTAACCCCTCTGTACAGTATGTTCACAAATAAAATAATAAAAATAAATAAAAAAAGAAAGGAAGGAAAAATGTTATGGTAGAAGGGAAACAGAGAGGAAAGGAGGGTCTGTAAGGTGTGGGGGGAGACCTTGATCCTAATTTAGACCAACAGGGTCACCACACCTGTTTGTCAAGAAACTCTGCAGACCTTTAACCCAACCACAGTGAAAGAACACTATCTTCCACCACCATCCCCTTCTCTAAGTTGCCTACTCTGTGTTATCTACAGCCAATGCAGGGCTGGGCATTGCAGATCCAGGGCACATTTGCTGCTCAGAAGTGCTGCTGCTGCTGCTGCTGCTGCTGGAGAGCCTACAGAAAGTTGCCCCAGGACCGGGTTCCCCCTACCCTGCAGACATCCAGAGCAACCACTAAGACCTTTTATTGCAGGGCTGCGTTGGGTCTCAAGAGTTTGGGTTTGCTATCGGCTAACATGATTTTGAGCACAAATACTAGAAACTGTGAATCCACTTCTGTCCACTGTAATGACTTTGTTATGTCATAAAGAATCCAGTGAGAAGATTCGATCTGGATAACACAGAGGCTCAAGCACATCATCAAGCCCTTGTTCTCCCCAAGGCTTTGTTGCGTATTCCTTTACATTTAGGCTGGCTTCCTGGATTGCTGGAGGAAGATCCATCAGTGGCTACACACAGACAAGGAAATTCATTTTTTTGTGTTTTGAGACATTTCTGTGAAATCCAGGCTATCCTTGAACTTGTGATTCTCCTGCCTCAGCTTCCTGAGTGTTAGGATTACAGTTGTATACCTCCACACTTGGTTTGTTGTATGTGTGTATCTCTCTTTTTGTGTGCCAGTTCTGGGGCTTGAACTCGAGCCTGAGCACTAGTTTTGAGCAAAGAGCTCATTCCCACCACTGCAAAACAAAAACAAGTTATAATTGGTTAAATTGAGCAAAAAGCATTCTACCACTTGAGCCACAGCACCACTTCTGGGATTTTTTGCGGGTTAATTGGAGATAAGAGTCTCATGGACTTTGCTGCTCAAACTGGCTTTGAACTGCAATCCTCAAATCTCAGCCTGCTGAGTAACTAGGATTACAGGCATGACTCAGTGAGTGTGTGTGTGTGTGTGTGTGTGTGTGTATGTGTGTGTGTTGCCAGTCCTGGAGCTTGAATTCAGGGCCTAGGCACTGTCCCTGAGCTTCTTTTGCTCAAGGCTAGCATTCTCCACTTGAGCCACAGCACCGCTTCCAGCTTTTTCTTTTTACACAGTACTGAGGAATTGAACCCAGGGCTTCATGCATCCTAAGCAAGCACTCTACCACTAAGCCACATTCCCAGCCCCATTGTGTCTCTTTTTAAGAACAAATTACCCTCCTAGAATCTCTTGCAGAGTGTTTGGCTGTGTTTCAAAATAGTGTTATGTTCTACAAGAAAAATGATCAATCTCCAAGTGTCTAAATGCAGTCCACATTTATCCTGATTGAAATCAATGCCATGAAACTTGGGTCTCTTTGTGGAGTCTAGGAACCTTCTTTTGCAGGCTTTTGTCCTTTTCTTTCAGTCTCATGGGTGGGTAAAATA